ATATTATTTAACATTTTGTGAAAATAGTAAATCTTAAATTTCGATAACAGCTACCTAATTTTTAATTTACCCTGTATAACCTGATATTTACGTTTAACCAAATTAAAATTTGACCCGAGAAGTTATACAGGGTGAGACAAAATTAAAATGAAACATTGGTCACTTTTAAAAGCAAGTTTCTCCTTTATTTTAAATGGAACACTCAGTATATTATTTCGGTGTTCAGTGGGGAAGTTATATATCTTTAAAATGTTATTAAGCTTGTCTACCACTCAGACAAAGATTTCCTAGATATTTTAATTTTTATGATTTTGCGTCGGTAGATCTTTATTATTTGAACAAATCTAGAGTGGCTGTGATACACCTTTTGTTGTACTCGATAGTAATAAAAAGATACACGTTTAAAACATATTTCAATTATGTTGTCGACAATAGTTGGTCTAGTTTTGTAAACATGCTCAGAATGTTTCCTTTCCTGTTAACTGCATAAAATGATTCTCTTTTCAAAAGATCTTTTAACATATCTTCATAAAAACTCGGACTAGATAAAATGAGGAGCCTTTAAGTATTCTATTAATTGGTGAATGCGCACTGCATTCACCAACTAATAAAATCATGTCAATTCCCTCTGATGTAGGATAAGTTTGCATTTTCGGCAAATTTCTGAGATTTTTTTTATTTTAACTGACGAAATGGGATAACTAGCTGTTAAAGTTGGACTAATTAGTCAGCTATGTTGAATGTTGAAGTAACGACAGACATCATAGCCACCTAGATTTTATCAAATAATAAATAAATATCTACCGACACTAAATCATAAAAATGAAAATATCTAGGAAAATCTTTGTTTGAGGGGTAGGCAACCTCAATAGTATTTTTAAGAGACATGAATTCCTCTTTGAATATCGGAATAATATACTGGGTGTTCCATGTATAACTTTTTGAGTCAAGTTTTAATTTGATTTAAAGTACAATAGTTATTTTAACTACATATTAGGCAATAACGGGTAAATTCCAATTTAGGTAGCTTTTATTGTAATTTAAAAATTGTTCTTTAATCTAAGAATCTGTTAAATTATATCAAAAACCTTACATTTTGGTCATATACTTCTCTAATAATACTCACCTTTATTTTTCTCCCAAAGTCCGAAAATCAATATTAATATATAGGATGTTCCTTAGATTATATTACGGATGTTCCATTACAAAAAATACAACTTTGATATGCAACTTTTTTTGGGGACGCCCTGTAGAACTCTCTATGTTTTTAAAAAGTGCTCGGAATTATCCTACATATGCTCACAAAATTTCATTTCAATACCAACCGTCGTTCTCCTTGGAGCCTCCGCGTCGTATGAGAGGCGCCACCCTGTATATAGTACCTAAAAAGAAAATAAAAAACTTACTTAGAACATTCCATTTAAAAAAAACTAGGTATGTTAAATTAAATGTTATACTTTAGTAATAAATACAAAATAAGCCATGCATAAGAAGCAAAAGACCAGTGCATGTGCCATTTGCTAAAAGAGCGTTCACAATAATCTCCAAACCATAACGCATAACGCCAAACTCAAACGCGTAAAGATTACCTCTGTTGCGTGTTGGCGAACAAGTCTTTCATCAAAGATTTAACCATCTATCATCATTTGCGCGAATCTAGATCAGCGCTAGATTACCTGACGTTTAGAGGAAATGGAAATGCTCGAAATGTGAAATAATATTTCGCTATTTATTACAGCAAGATTGAAACGGAATATTTTAGTAACGAGAGAAGTATCTGGGGTAACTAGAAAATAGTTCTTGTTCGTTTGCATTCGCTAATTGGCATTAAACTGTTTTGGTTCTTATTATTTGTATTTATATTTGATAGAGATGTCAAACATGATTTTAAAGTATTATGATCAAGTCAAAGACGGGTTCTTTGACTTTGAGAACTAAGAAATTTTAATGTAATTTTCCATAAGAATTGTTTATCGGTTATCATTCAAAGGAAGCCTCATCATAAAACTTCTTAATCAAATAAGCATTAGATGGAACATTATTATACCATTTCTAATATTAAAAATATATGTAATAACTAGCGTGTACCAGCGACTTCGTTCGCGTAGAATTAATCATTTGTAATGGTGATGATAAAGCAAAGCAAGAATTTCCGTTAACATACAAACTGAATAAAATTTTCTTACATTTATGTCAGCATGAGAAAAAACAATATGGCGACATTATTATATAACTTGATAATATCTGAGGGGTAGTTTCATCTCGTTGGAATTTGACTTTCGAAAAATCCGTTTCCTAAAAATAAGCTTTTTACGTCAATCAGTTTAAGCAGAATCGTGGTTAAGAAATTTCCCAACTTTTTGGAACACCCTGTATGAATTTTTAAAAAATTTCAAAATATGTAAAAAAACCAAATAAATTATGCTTGTCCAAGCGTTTTCCCGAAAGACTAACCGTTTTTTAAATAACAAATATTGTAATATTTGAGGGGCGTTTTCACCTTCTTGGAATTTGAGATTCGAGAAACCCCTCCTTATCGAACCTCTACACCCCACAGTCAATCCGTTTGCCAAAAATCAGCTTTAAACGTCAAGCAGTTTAAGCAGAATCGTGATTACTCAATGGTCATATTTTATGAAACACCCTGTATAAATTTATAAGAAATCTTAAAATATGTAAAACAACAAAATAAAAGATACGTGTTTAAGAGTTTTTCCGAAAAACTCACCGGTTTTTAAATAAAAAATATTTTAATATTTGAGGGATAGTTTCACCCCTTAGAATTCGAGTATCGAAAAATCCATTCTTATCGAACCTCTACACCCTAAAGTCAATCTGAGTTTCCAAAATCAGCTTTTACGTCAAGCGCTTTTAAGCAGCATCGTGATTAATCAATGACCAGATTTTTCAGAGAAACACCCTGTATACTTTTTAAAAATCTTAAAATATGTAGAAAACAAAATAAAACATACGTGTTTAAGCGTTTTTTCGGAAACTTGACCGTTTTTTAAATAAAAAATATTGTAATATTTGAGAGGTGTTTTCACCCTCTTGGAACTGGAATTTCGAAAAATCCTTTCTTATCGAACCTCTACATCCTAGAATCAACCTGTATGCCAAAATTGAGCTTCTTACGTTGAGTGGTTTGAGCAGGATCGTGATTAATCAGTATGTCAGTCACTTAAGGATTTTATATATCAGACCAAACCAAACCAAACCTTAAAATTTTGATGTATTTTAAAGTTTAATATATTTTGTTCTAATGAGAAGATTTTGATGATTTTTTTAAGAAATTTGTAGTTAAATTATTTGATTTTATAGTGAAAATTGCCATCTGTCAATTATAGAGGGAAAACAAATTTTGGTGAAAGTTTGAAACACCCTGTGGAATGGAAACAGTTTATGGACTTTATAACAGAAACTACTCAAAAATTCAGCATCTTTAAATTCATCATCTTACCGCAACGGAATCTAAACATAATAATTTTTATAACTGTATTTTCCACTACAATTCTTCATGTAATTTTTAATTCCTAATATTATAAGTTCTGTTTCATTTTATTGCTTCATTTTTAAATAGTTTTTTTTTTAATATGTCGAAATAATTTTTTTTACAAAATCTATGTATTTTCACTTGTATTTTCATGTTTTTTATTCAGGAAATATTCTACCGAATTGCATTCATGCATCAAAATTAACCTGATAATTTTTATCTTCTCTCTTTCCTTCGGAGTCGGGCTCTTATGGCAAAATATGAATATAAACTCATGCAGTTTTTAAACAACATGCTTTCATGAAAAATTATCGGTAATTTTGATGCACTTGGGTAATTACTTCCGATAACTAACGTTTTGTTTTTTCATTTTCTTGCGCACACTGTATGGTCACACAGGGTGGTCCGAACAGTATTCCGGAAACTTCGGCAGCATATTCTGCAGATAAAAATAAGTAAAAAAGTTCGTATAACTGTATGTCCTAAAATGCTCAGTTTTGGAGATACAGGGTGTAGAAGTTGCATTTTTATTTTGATTTTTTCCAAATAATTTCTGAAATAACGTCAATATTTGGATAAAAATTGGTGTCTGGGAGTTTTTTGACATGAAAAATTTGATTTTGATGTCAATATGACTCTAATTTGTAGGGGGCGCCACCTCCATGTGTTTTAACTGTTTTGAAGAGTAATAACTTTTCGTCCGTACCTGTATAAAACTACTGAGTGAAAAAATATACATCTCCGTTACTTTTTACGTAAAACATGTCTTTTGCTAAAAATCGCTACGGGCAACCGTTTCTCAAGATATTTAGAATGGAAAATTCAATACACGTCATTATTGACAAAAAATAAACACTATGAGGATAGTAATTTGACTGAAAAAATAAATTTGACAAATTTTTATATTTTTAAATTAATCATAAATTTTTCTGCGAAAAAATGACGATAAAACAGTTTCTATTGAACTTTTGACACAAAAATATTTCAAATTTATGATTTCAGTCTAATAGATATTTAGTCAACATAATTTATGTCAATGATGACAGGTATTGATAATTTCGATTCCAAATATCTCGAGAACCATTTCTCGTAACGATTTTTACCTTTTTGCCAAGAGACCTTTTCTACGTAAAAAACGTCGTAAATGTATATTCTTTTACTCAGTAGTTTTATACAGGTGCGGACGAGAAGTTATTACTCTTTAAACCAGTTAAAAATATGTAGGTGGCGCCCTCAAGAAGTAGGTGTCATATTGACATCAAAATCAAATTTCTCATGTCAAAAAACTTCCAGACACCAATTTTCACTCAAATATTGATGTTACTTCAGGAAATTATTTGGAAAAAAACGAAATAAAAATGAAACTTCTACACCCTGTATCTACGAAACTAAGCATTTTAGGACACATTTATACGAACTTTATTACTTATTTTAAATGCTGCCAAAGTATCCTTAAAATGTTACAGCATTATGTTTTGTTTATTTAACGCTTCGTTTATTTTTACAGAGTAACCGCACAAAAAACCATCCGCCATGGACGCCATCAAGAAGAAGATGCAGGCGATGAAGCTCGAGAAGGACAACGCTTTGGACCGCGCTGCCTTCAACGAGCAACAAGCCAAAGACGCCAACCTCCGCGCTGAAAAGGT